TGACTGATCACTAGGGCTGAGTCCCTGTATACATTCACAAATTTGATTCTCATATCAATGGCAGCTTTGATACCCATGATGCACGCTTCATATTCAGCCATATTATTGGTACAATCAAAGAAAAGTTTGGCAGTGAAGGGCGTATGGAAACCCTTGGGGGAGATGATCACAACACCAATTTCATTACCAAGTGCGTTGGAAGCTCCATCAGAAACCATAGTCCATAAGGATCTTGGCTCAGGTGCTTCATACGGTCCAGGTTCTTCATAATCAATAACCAGCATAATATTCTCATCCGGGAACTCAAAATTCATAGACTGATAGTCATCTACAGTTTGATGATCCAAATGGTATACCAGCACACTTCCTTTGATTTCTTTCTGAGTGGTGTACTGAATGTTGTATTCTGTTAAGACCATTTCCACCGGGCTATTCTTCCGAAGAGAGCAGGCTTCTCAAATATGTATTTAATTGGATCCATTTTAGAGATCAACAAAGTGGTATGAGTCAATATATATTGTGTTAGTCGTTGAGCAACCCAAGCCAAAGCGCATCAAGTTTTCTCGAGCAGTGAGTATCTTGTTTCACATTTGGTAAACTTTTTGCTAAGGTAGTATATTGCACGCTCTTTTCAACCAGACTCGTCATGTTACCCTGGTACACACCCTATTGAGTTCTCTAACACTTTTAGGTACATGATTAGAGGTCTTCCTTCAACTAGTGGCATCAGAATAGGAGGTTCTTAGAGATACTCCTTGATTTTGTCAAAATCTATTTGACAATCGTCACTCCATTTCATTACTTGATCTTTCTTTAGTAACTTGAAGATTGACTCACAAGTAGCAGTCATATGAGAAATAAATCGGGCAATATAGTTTAATCGTCCAAAGAAACCTCTAACTTCCTTTTCAGTATGGGAAGCATGAATTTCTTGAATGGCTTTGACCTAAGAGGGATCAACTTCAATACCTTTACCACTGACGATGAAACCCAGGAGCTTACCGGATCTCACCCCAAAGGTGCACTTGTTCGGATTCAGTCTCAACTTATATTTCTTCAACCTCTCAAATAGTTTATGCAGATGGTCGAGATGTTCTTTTTCAGTCTGAGACCTGGCTATCACATCATCAACTTAGACCTCTATCTCGTGATGAATCATGTCATGGAACAAAACTACCATAACACGCTGATATGTGGCGCCAGTGTTCTTCAAACCAAAAGGCATAACTTTGTAACAAAAAGTGCCCCACTATGTAACGAAGGTTATTTTCTCCATGTCTTCAGGTCCCATCTTAATCTGATTATATCCTTAGATACCGTCCATAAAAGAAAATACCTTATGTTGAGCGGTGTTGTCGACCAGAACATCAACCCGCGGAAGCGGAAAGTCATCCTTGGGGTTTTCCCTATTCAAATTTCTGTAATCTACACACATATGCACCTTACCGTCCTTCTTAGGTACCGGAGCCACATTTTCAGCCCATTATGGATTGGATGTAACATCTAAGAAACATGCATTGAATTGCTTCATAACTTTGGCCTTGATCTTTTTGGACATTTTTGTACGCATACGATGAACCTTCTGATTTATTGGAGAGCAACCTTCTTTCATTGGCAGACGGTGAACAACGATGTAGGTATCAAGCCTTGGCATGTCTTCGTACGACCAAGCAAAGATCTAAACATAGTCATGTGACATCTAGATTAATTTATGTTTGACGTTGTCTTCCAGGATGGCACCTATCTTGACTTCTTTTTTATCCTCTTCAGTATCCAAGTTCACCACCTCGACTAGCTCTTCATGCGACTGTATTGCTATTTCTTCTTTCTGTAATAGTCTAGCAAGCTCTCCAGGTATTTTACAATCTTCTTCACCTTCATCTTCAGCTTGGTAGATCGGATTTTCAAAGTCATAATTGGCAATAGCAGAATCGTTATTAATGGGATCCAGAGTGGATGTGGATCTGTAATTTATTATGTGGGTGTATGTAAGAAACACATAGCTATATTTGAAAGAAATAAAGTAATGAAAAGACAGAGAGCGCAAAATTTGAATGCAAAACGTCCAATGATTTATTAAATGAGCATATGCGGATGAAAGATAACAACCCTAACAAGTGGACCATTATGCCCCGGGTAAGGCACAAGGCTTAAAGTTATTATTTAAAATTACATATCCCAAAAACTTGAAATCAGCAAAACAGGAAATGACAATTACTCCTGACAAAAGGATATTGGTATAAAGTCTTTAGCCTTCTAGTTGTTGAGTCCACTACCAGTAGTAGGGAAGACCCAGTTGTCTAAATCACAGTCACTATCAGTGTCTTCTATAACATTGACTTCATTATTGTTTATGTAGAAAGGTGGTCTCCCAGCACAAGCACGACGAACCGCCTTCTGAGCCTCTAGGTGAAACCCAAACTAAATTTGTTGGACTTGTAAGGAATGTCAGGAAGCTGACCCAAATAGTGCAACCACCTTCTTCTACCACAACCCTAACATCTTTTAGAGAAGCCATTCTTAGTGGATCCTTGGTAATCTTAGGAGTAGCAGGAGTAGCTTTAGCAATGGCAATTGTCGGAGGAATTACTTCAAAGGTTTGGCATGGAGTCTCAATGAATTCACCATTCATCTCAACATATTTGCATGTATTCAAATGGCTCACTGTGATCGGTGGATTTAGAACTGACTGTTTAAAGCTGGATCGAGAAATGTCGCGGAAGCAAGAGTCGCCACCGTCTTTTATTTTCTCCAACATGGACAGGACAAAAGCACAGCAAAATTCCTTATGAGAATAGTTCTCGGTTCGGGAGGTAGATTTATAGAAAGGGAAGGTGTTAGCACCCTTTCTATCCATGGTTATCCATGGGCTCTTAGGTACTTGCTCTTATGTTTTCAAAATGTTTGTTTGCTTTTCAAAATGTGAGTGGGTTTGAAAAAAGTTTCGTTTAAAGATTTCAGATCGACTCTTGTATCAGTCCTCAAGAGTGTTTGAAAAATTGTTTTGAATGCTTTTTGAAAAGTGTCGGTGTGAAAAGAGTTTTGATTGGTTTTTTGAATAGAGCAAGTATCTATGAGTCATCCACCTACCCTAAGGAATTAGGCTGTGTAAATATCCTTAAGTTAGTGCCATCCCACCATTGAGAGGTAGGTAGCACCACCGTTGGAGGTGTTCGGGTCAATTCATTTGTAGGGACAGTGTGGTCACCGAAGCAACAGTAGGACACCTTAGAAGCTACCCTTATGTCCTTGATCATTTTTTCTAATCCGAGGCAAACGTTTCGAGGCAACTGGATCATGGACATAAGGACCGCTAAAACGTCCTATACTTGACGACCACGTTTCGAAGGTAAGGCAACAGTGAGGCGTACCCTAGAAGTGGTGTGTGAATTTGTGTGTTGTTTTCATGTTTATATTTGTCTTTGATCATGCATTCGTGAGCTACGCTTGTTTTTAATTTAGCCATACATTCTTTCATACAATTTAGCAGTTAAGAGTGCGGAAATTTAAATGCGGAAAGATAAATCCTACGCTATTACAAGGCGCGGGTCTATACATCGCCAAATTACAAAGACCCGTTTGGTAAAAATGCGGAAAGTAAAACCTAGTTACTATTACATGGCTTGAGCAGTTACATAATATTCGAAAAGAAAATAAAATAACGTGCGAAAAGAATAAAAATAGAACGTTCGAGGGCGTTGGACCCTTTTGAAATTAAATTGAATTAAAAGTTAATTAATTATTCTATTAAAAGAAAAGAAATTGTTTTTATGTTTTTTTGTATTTAAGAAATAAAGAAATTAAAATTAAAGTTAGTGAAACCCTAGTTCTAAATTATTTTTAATTATTAAGAAAAATATACAAGTTAACCTAATTTAGGCTAATTAGTTAATTATTTATTTACAAAAATATTTAGTAATTAATAATAATAATGATGAGAGGAAATTATTTAAGAAAAAGATGAGAATGTTAAAAAACCCTAATTTCTACATATTTTAATTTATTAAGAAAAAGTGTTAAAATTGAAAACCTAAATTAACTAAATTAATTATTAAAATTTATTTACAAAATAAATTAAATAGAAATTTAAATATTATTAAACATATTTTATTTTCTGATTTTTATATTATGAAAATTAATTTATGAAATTAAAGAAAACAATTAAAAACAATTAAAAGAATAAAAAGAAAAATCAAATAAAAAATAAAAATCACTATAAGAAAAATGATAGATTGGGACGGTTATTTTGGCTGATTACGACGGTTAAAACCGTCGCAATTTACAATCTACGACGGTAGAAGTACCGTCGCAGAATCGTGCGTCCCCAGCCTATTTCGCGACGGTTGCAAAAACTGTCACGCACAACAGATAGCGACGGTTATATACGGTCGTGAATTTGACTTTATTTTTTGTTTTTGTTGTTGTTTGCGACGGTTATTCTACCGCCGTAGGTTAGAAATTGCGGCGGTTTTAACCGTCGTAATCTAATTTATAAATTTCAAATAATATTTTTATTTAAATTATTATTTAGTAAAATAATTTTAAATATAATATTATTTTACTATAATATTTTACTATTATATTTAAATTATTATTTACTTTAATATTTTTTTATTTATAGTATTTTTATTTTATTTTCTATCACTTTTCAACATAATAAAGTTAATTACAATAAAAACATTTAATATCAAATAATCATCAATAATATCAAAAAAATGTGATCAAAGGTAAAAAGAAGTGCAAATTTTACCAATAAACAAGAAAAATTCAAATATCATCAAAGGCCAAATTTCATTTTAATATTTACATTGGTTTGCTACAACTTGAGAGAATTACAAAAAATGTTACAATATTCTACAAAATTCATGAAAGTCCTTAGTGTTAAGTGATTTTGTGTTAAACTTCCATGCTAGGACCATGATCCTTCCTTGACTACCATTTGGAAGCAATAACTTCACTCCTAGACAGTGTGTTTGATGAATGGTTGTTAGGTAACTCATTTATTTTAGAACCACAAACAGGCCCTGAATTTCCTCGGCTTCCTGTTGTCTGCGAAGGCACATGACTCCTAACTCTTGTTCCTCATCCCACCATGACTCCCAACTCTTGTTTGAAGAAACACCAATACCACCTCGACTACTAATCCATTTATTCCAATCATCCCAGTCCTCAACTATCTTCTGCCATTAAAATCCTGATGGATTGAAAAGGAAAGGAGCAAACAACCAAGAGCTAACCAAAAACCACATTGACCATGACAGAAATGCGTATGCTGCTGAGTCAGTTGTTGCTGATCCATAAATCATATAACAAATGAGCAATATTGTGAGCTCAATCCCTTTGACAAAGTGACTCCTAGAGTACATCCTGTAATTGTCTGCAAACTTTTCATGACGAACGACAAATCCATGCCCAGTTGCTCTGTACTTTGCCCCTCCATGCAGGAGAGTGCTCCCAAAATAGTGCATTTTCGTTCCAAGCGAGAAAGTAAAGAAAACAGGTGCCAGCTGTAACTGCATTATTATTATGCAGGCGAGCACATGAAGATTAAAAAATAAAATGTACATTTTATAATGGTAAAGTAGAAAGAGAAAGAACGTAGGATAGTTACGATTTCCATGGAGTGTGGATCAGAAGAGAGGCCTTCCTCAGAGGCAAGGGAGAGAGCAAGGTCACGAACCCTCCAAACATGCACTGCATCGTGAGAAGCATCATTCCCTTTCATTGCTTTCTCAACCAACGCCTCAGCTTTTCTTACCCTCTCTTTCCTCTCCATCTCCATCCTCTCTCTAGTTCCAGGAACTGCAGTTGCGCACCTCACTCGGCCAATATATTTTCTTCTACTATCTTTGCAAAATAAAAATCTGCACCCTAGTCCATGAAACAATTAGAGCTTTCAATTTATCACACTCAACACCGGCCCAATGTGTTTCAAAGTCGTCAAAAACAAGACCAAAAGCTTGTTTCAAAATGTGTACAGAATAGTGAGGAAAATACAGTTCAGTGACATACTTGAATTCACAGTAAGGTTGTTAGTTTTCCTGAGTATGTCAATGTTTCTCACTCCAGTCAACAATAATGCAACTCTAGTATCCTGAATCAAAATCAAAATCAAAAGTGTCTCAGGATGTTAGATTATTTCAATCATAATGAATACACATAACCAATGCACATTAAAAATTGAAATATAACAACAACAAAAAATACAACCTTATTATGTTTCAATTCGATAGGGCAACTTACATAAACATTCAGATAAACAACAAATTCCAAGAAAAACAAGCATAGCAAAAGTGATTTTACCTTACAGACAGCAAACATAAAAGTAGCACCGCAACAGAGCCTACAAAATGCAGATATGGTTAAACTCTAAGCCCATTCAACCACATTTCTTAACACAAATAAAATAAAAGGTCATGTGAAACAAATTGTTAAGTTTAATTCAGTGGAAAACTATAATCAGAATATTTCATGATTAAGAATATGCAGAGAATGAGTTGAAGTTTTAATTAAGTAAGAAAATAGAAAAGATAATGCGTACGGCATAGGAGTGAAACAGAAGGTTGACGGAGAAGCACGCCGGCGCTATGAACGACGGCAGGAACTGCTAGCGGGATTAAGCTTTCGGTGTTGTTCTGTTTGATCTGTGTTTAAGACCTTTTAATTATTGAAAACCACATTCAACTCAAAAAGTAAAATCAGAAGCCATACTGTGTATCTCCAACGTCTTTAACAAGACTATTCTGAGATGAATCACCAGCTTTCTTCAAAGTATCACCGACCATAATTATTCTGGACTTCTCCGCATTACCCTACAATAACAACAACACAAATCACAAACCTTCGTCGGTTTATCAAAATGAACCTCAATGAACCTTCATCGATTTATTACTTGAATATATTAAGAAGCTGCTGAAATTCAGAATCCCCCGGAAACAAAACATGTCTCCTCACCATTTCAGCTGCATAAACAAACAAACAATTAATCAATCAATTACATTTCCATCATTAATAGAGAAAGAAAAGTATCCAAATCACAAAAACCGTCTTAAGAGATTCACGATATTCTCCCTCATGAAAATAATCCCCAACTCAATTCCATTCAATTTGATTCCTAAAGTCATATTTGGGATGCAATCCAACTCAACCGAAATCGTGAAATACTTTAAGGCACCTTAGGTATTATCAATAGCAGATCAAAAATTTTCATTTGAGTTCCGCTACACATCACTGCCGCGAATCCACCTAATTTTACACAAAACCCTAACAATTTGTTCAAATTATACTATGTAGTGCAAAAATTCTACTATGAGATCCAAAACCCTAATTATGGTAAATTAGCAGCAACAACAAGAAGAAGTAGAAAAAAGAATTGAAATCGAGAGAATGACGTACCAAAGATACATCCAACAGACCAGATATCAACTCTAGTAGAGTAGGTAGTAGATCCAAGCAAAACTTCAGGAGCTCTATACCAAAGAGTAACAATCTCATGAGTATAACTCTTAAGCGGGACGGTAAAAGCCCTCCCAAGACCAAGATCAGCAATCTTCAAAATCCCTTGTTGTTGATCGAGAAGCAAATTCTGCGGCTTCAAATCCCGATGAGATTGAAGCGAAGAAGGTGGTGGTGGTTGTTGTAGAAGATGGAGAGGGAAGTGGGGGAGAAGGAAGAAATGTTGTTGTTGGTGGTGAGTAGTGGAGATGAAGATGGAGGGAGTGGATGGAGGTTGAAATGAAGAGAAGACATGGTTGTGGTGGAAGCCGGTGATGTCGGGAAGCGACGAGAAGAGAAAAAAGGAGAAGCTTTTGGACCTGTTATGTTCTTTTGTTAGAAAATCTTTTAATTTTTTTATATTAATTTAATTTGATAAATATATAAATATATTATATTATTATCACTTTTTTGTAGTGTACGGGGCGACGGTTGTTATACCGTCGTGATGTGTATTTTATGGCGGTTTGTTAACCGTCGCGACATTGATTTTAGGACGGTTTAATAAAAAACGGTCGCAATATTTAATAATTTTTTAAATATATAAGGACGATTGGTGTATACCGTCGTGAAATGTATCTCTATATTAGAATTACGACGGTTATCAAGTAACTGTCGCAATTTTTGTGTCGTAAAATCCTAATTTTCTTGTAGTGAATGATGCAAACCATGGGGGGTGTCTGGCCCTTTTAGGAGGTTTTTTGGAAGCAATTTGGCCCACTGTATCAAGCCTTTTTTGACTTTCCAGGATCACATGCTTGATGGTTGACCCAGGTGTATGATGGACTGCATGTTCTGGCCTTCAGATTATTCCTTGAAGCCACTTGGCAGGCTAGCGTATGAGTGTGCATGATGGACCTTGTGATGGACGCTGCATGGAAACATGTTAAGGGAAAAATTATGAAATATGTGAGGGGACCTGGGAATCGAACCCAGGTCCCAGTACCTGCAGGACACCTCAGCCACCAACTGAACCAACGCGTTTCTTTGTTAATATAATAGAACATGAATAATATATATGAAAAAAGTAATCATGCTGAAACAAACCAAAAAACGCGCTAATATTTAAACTAACCAACCACGCCTGGACACGATAGTCTTCTTCTTCATTATTCCTGCAAATATGAAACAGGTAGCGGGGGTTTTAAACCCCCACTAAATGGCACAGTGGATAATAGCGATTAGACGATGCCTGAATATAAAAAAGGCGCGAGGTAATCATTCCATTCGTCTTGTTGCCACAAATTCAATGGTACCAGTTTGAAGGTCCAATTTTTCCATATGAAGAAACCCCTAATTCGAAGCTTCTGAAACCCTAGAAAACGTTAATGGCCAATCTCGTTTCAAGCATTGTTAGGACAATTAAATGGTACCATTCGCTTCAGAACATCATGGTTAGTGTTAATCAACAATTAAAATACATGAACAATGCATGAAAATTAAAACACGATTATGGAAAAGTTTGTGAAAAGTGTGATTCGGTTCTACCAATTCTTGGAGTCTATGGACCTGTTCTTGATTGCAAATGCTTCCTGGATGCTTAGGCAATGTATTGGAATGCTTTTGAAGCTTTGAATTGTGCTCTAGGTATGAAATCAGTTTCAAGATTTTTGGCCAAAAATTGCAAATTGGTTCTATGTTTTCTGAGCAGCTTTCGTGTCTGTTAGCATTAGGTTATGTTGTGCCTTTGTATCTGAATGGAATTAGGTCAAAAAGCCAAGCCCATAGTCCATGAATTAATGATTTCAATATTTGATTTTGTTCATATCTTTTCCAATCTTTTTCCATGCAATTCTTGCCAAATATGGATGATATTGTCCCCTTGAGATGGTGCACGAAATCTCTTGCATATAATGGACATATTTGCTGCACAAAAAGATTTAAAACCATTGTTTAATATTTTTCTCATAATTAAATTTAATTAAATGAATTAATAAGATTAAAAATTCAATTAATCATTTAAAAATAAGAAAATAAATTCCTTTGAGCTTAATGGGTCGTGCATATGCTTTGGGTAATGATTCATGGAAGAATTTGTGGCCCATTAGCAATTTTGAAGCTTTTGAAGCAAAGTTGACTTTTCAAAGTTCCCAAAAATTTCCCAACTTCTCTAAGGAATATCTTGCTCAATATTGAAGCTATGAACATGTTCTTGGACATTTTGGAAAGTTCTTGAAGTCCTCTAACCAATGCCTTTGGTCCCATGTCATTTTAATTTACCAATCTCAAGTTATGGTCTTTGACTTAAAGTGCCTTTTTGTTGACTTTTGAAAATGACCTATAATGTTGAAATTGATAACTTTTTGTGAGAGCATTTCTTGGACTTGAAGTGTGAAGATGAGTTGTAGGAAATGTCATTCTCTTCAAAATGAGATTTGGATGGGATTTTTCTGATAAACCATGAGGAAGTTATGCCCTGGTCAATTTGCAGTTGACTTTTTTCAGCTGTCCAAAAATAGAAACTTTTGCATCTTGAGACTTTTTGAGCCATGCTTTGAGAATCATGATCAAGAATTGATCAAGTGATGTTTGTAGCTTCAAAATAAGATGTTGACCAAAAATTTTGACTTTGGACTGTCAAATGACCATTTTGCCCCTGCAGTTGACTGTGAAGCAATTAGGGTTTTTGACTGTGCAACTTGATGCTGTGAGTCTTGAAACTTGACATATGAATGCTTGACAATGTATATAGGCATGTGGGACTTGATTGGACCCTTGAAAACTTCAATTTCTTTGCAAGAACCAAAACCCTAATTTGACTGGCTTAGGAGGCCATTGGACTGTGCACCCTTTGAGGGATTTTGAACCATGATCTTGGCAAATCTTGAAGAATATGGGAGGGCAAATTTTGGGGTACAACAGTTGCCCCTGTTCAATCTTCTTAGACCTGAGGATGCAGATTGGCTTGCGTGCCTTTCGTAATCCGAAGGTGGAAGATGATTGAACACTAGAGTGCCCAGAAATTTGCACTCGCATAGTAGAGTATCAGCAACGTGATGGCGGGAATGGGCTTATAGATGCCATTTGGAGAGATGATGGATAGGAGGATGGGCTTATAGATGCCATCTGGAGGTGTCGATCGCGTAAGAGATTCCTTAGCGAGAACTTGTGTACCTGAAAAAGAAAGATAATTACCTGGCCTGTTACAGGAGTTGATCTTCAAACTCTTTATGTAGATGTGCCCTGGCTAGATACAGGAATCGAATCTTTAAACTCTTCAGACGTGCCCTGGCAAGATACAGGAATCAAGTCTGGAGAATAGTCGTCAACAGATACACCCTGGCGAGATACAGGAATCAGATCTTCAAACTCTTCAGACGTGCCCTGGCAGGATACAGGAATCGAGTCTGGAATATAGTCGTCAACAGATACACCCTGGCAAGATACAGGAATCGGATCTTTGAACTCTTCAGACGTGCCCTGGCGAGATACAGGAATCGAGTCTGGAATATAGTCGTCAACAGATACACCCTGGCAGGATACAGGAATCAGATCTGGAACTTCAAAAGGTTTTTGTTGGTAATGATGTGATGAAGGAATCTGAGACGATTGCTACGTCAGCAGGATGATGAATGGATCAGGGACGATTACTACCTCAACGTGACGATGAGAGAACCTTGGACGATTACTACCTCAACAGGAACGATGAGAGAACCTTGGACGATTACTACCTCAACGGAATGATGAGAGAACCTTGGACGATTACTACCTCAACGGAACGATGAGAGAACCTTGGACGATTACTACCTCAACAGGAACGATGAGAGAACCTTAGGCGACTTCAACCTCAGCAGAATGATGAGAGAATCTTAGGCGACTTCAACCTCAGCAGAATGATGAGAGAATCTTAGGCGACTTCAACCTCAGCAAAATGATGAGAGAATCTTAGGCGACTACAACCTCAGCAGAATGATGAGAGAATCTTAGGCGACTTCAACCTCAGCAGAATGATGAGAGAATCTTAGGCGACTTCAACCTCAGCAGAATGATGAGAGAATCTTAGGCGACTACAACCTCAGCAGAATGATGAGAGAATCTTAGGCGACTTCAACCTCAGCAGAATGATGAGAGAATCTTAGGTGACTTCAACCTCATCAGAATGATGAGAGAATCTTAGGCGACTACAACCTCAGCAGAATGATGAGAGAATCTTAGGCGACTTCAACCTCAGCAGAATGATGAGAGAATCTTAGGCGACTACAACCTCAGCAGAATGATGAGAGAATCTTAGGCGACTTCAACCTCAACAGAATGATGAGAGAATCAGGGACGACTACAACCTCAGCAGAATGATGAGTGAATCTTTAGATGATTTCTACCTCAAAAGGTAATGACTTTTATCTGTCGATCGTTCTTTCCTGAAAAAGTAACGAGTTAGTTGTATGCAATGTTATGACGTGTGAGATGTCATGATGCTCAACATGAGATAGTGTGATGTGATGCGTATATGCATGCATTATGTATGTAAGCAAGATGTATGAAATGTGAAATGTCTATGAATGTATTTTCGTCTAGGAAAATAAATCCTTGACGAATGCCGGGAGCTAAATCCTGGGCTGGTGTTGAAGATGGTTCTTCGTTTCCGCCAGGGATGAAGATTGCAAGAATAAACCGGTAGGAGAAGACGACTCCGTTGGGGAATAAACTGGGTCGAGAGATTACTCTGCGGGGGAAAATTACTCTAGCGATCTTGCTGGGGTACAATACTCTGTGGGGAGAGAGGTATTTTGCCGAGATGTTGAATGAGAACTCCGCTGGGGATACCATTGTTGAGTTATGCTGGAAGGTTTGATGAACTCCGTCGGGGATAGGAAGACTTCGCCGGGGACGATCTTTCCGTGGTAATTAGCTGAGGATAACCCAGTTATAAGCCCTGGTGAGGAATAAACTTTGAATAAAGCCGGGGGAGCATTCGCACTCTGCAGGTGATAAGCTTCCAGAATCTACTGGGGATAAGCTTCCTACTGGGGAGATGGATTCAACTCTTCTGGGGAGGCTTTGGACTGTACTGGGGAGTGGCTCCGCTGGATGTCTAGATCCCGCCGGGGAACAATCTTAGATCAAGGCTGCCGGGGATGCTTGTTAAGGAATAGCTGTACTCCGCTGGGGAAGGTTGAGATCTTCTGGGGATACCCAACTTCTTTAAGGCTGGCCATAGGATAACTCTGCTTGGGGAGAGTATCGTTGACTTGCTGGAGATATGCTGTGCCTTGTTGATGGGAGACCAACTGCTTGGGAGAGTATTTGTTGAATATTGGCTCACTCTCTGGGGAATTAGGGTATCTTGGTTACATTCTTCAGCCGAACTTACCTTGGTACCTTGGTGGACATAGCAACTAGATCATATGGACAACTCATTATTGCCCTCGTTTCTGCGAGAGAAGAAGGCCGGTGAGGGTGCTTGATAACCGCCGATTGACAAATCTTCTTCTGGTAGGCAAGTGACGAGATGACGGGACGCAGTCGTACACTTTGATCCCTAATTTTTTCCTGGACCGCCCTTTCGGGTTTTCAGTCCACCGGGATACCCATTTTTGCCCAAGCCGCCTTTTCAGGTTTTCGACTTGTCGGGTGTACAGATTTTTCATTTTCATCCCTTATTTTTGCCCGAACCCTTTTGGTTCGTCGGGAAGCCCTTATTTTTGCCTAGGTATGTCAACCTAGCGGGTCTTTGATTATGCGCAGTATTTTTTCGACTATGTCCACGCTCTCAGGATGTAGGGAGGTGCCCCTGTCAATAGCATTGTGTTGTCATACCACCAGAAGATCTTCGTTTGATCGTCCAATGCCCCGAGTGATCCTAGATGGATATTTTCCCCAAGCTGGTTGGCCTTTTGAGAGGTTCTCCGAATCTTGACTTAACTGCCCCAGATGATAGACAGTGCTCATGTTGTGCCCCTTGATTGGAAGTGCTTTTCCGTTTGAGGTGATCTTTTGTTGAGAAGGTTTTTGTTCACTAGATATTCGTCGTGCAAAGTTCTCCGCTGTTCGAACAAATAATCATGTGCAAGCAATGTTATATTTAAAAATGTAAAGCTTATGTCTGTTTCGAAGTTTTTGAAAATGCATTTTTCAGTAAAACAAGCAAATTTTGTGGAATGTGATGTCAA